ATCTAAATAATCAGTATAATCTAATCTAAGGTCTTTAATTATGTCACGACCATAAGGAAGTGACTTATTACCATGGTCTCGTCGGTCTAATCTAAATTTAGGAGTCTATCCAATCTAAGCAGTCAATCCAATGTGATATAATTTAAGCAGTCGGTCTTATGTAATCTTTAATTATTAATTTAATTTAATGAATCAGTTTAATTATGTCACGATCAAAAAGAAGTGACATGTTACCATGGTCTCGTCGGTCTAATCTAAATTTAGGAGTCTATCCAATATAAGCAGTCAATCCAATGTGATATAATTTAATCAGTCGGTCTAATCTTATCTTAGGAGTCTATCTAATTTAATCAGTCAATATAATGTAATCTTAATCGGAGGAGAAACTATATGATGGATGTTCTCTTCACCTATGGGCGAGGTCGGGACCCTTGGGATTTAAAGATCTAATCAAAGCATTTCATCAAATCTAATTTAAGCAATTAGTCTAATCTAATCTATGGAGTATATTTAATCTAAATAATCAGTATAATCTAATCTAAGGTCTTTAATTATGTCACGACCATAAGGAAGTGACTTATTACCATGGTCTCGTCGGTCTAATCTCAATTTAGGAGTCTATCCAATCTAAGCAGTCAATCCAATGTGATCTAATTTAAGCATTCGGTCTAATCTTATCTTAGGAGTCTATCTAATTTAAGTAGTCAATCCAATGTGATATGATTTAAGCAGTCGGTCTAATGTAATCTTTAATTATTAATTTAATTTAATGAATCCGTTTAATTATGTCACGATCAAAAAGAAGTGACATATTACCATGGTCTCGTCGGTCTAATCTAAATTTAGGAGTCTATCCAATCTAAGCAGTCAATCCAATGTGATCTAATTTAAGCAGTCGGTCTAATCTTATCTTAGGAGTCTATCTAATTTAAGCAGTCAATATAATGTAATCTTAGTCGGAGGAGAAACTATATGATGGGTGTTCTCCACGCCTTTGCGCAAGGTCAGGGCTCTTGGGAATTATAAATCTAATCTAAGCAGGCATTCAAATCCAATTTAAGCAATCGGTCTAATCCAAACTTAGAAGTATATCTTATCTAATTATACAGTATAATCTAATCTAAGCGGTCAGTCTGGTCTAATCTAAGCAAAAGTCTTATCTAATCAATTTAATCTAATCTGTGTGTGGATGTGGAGGGCCAGTTCACAGCCAGTTGGCCACTGCTGTCCAGATAGAGACAATAGAACTCTCAGCCTGAGGACTTTCATAAGGTAACTTTCTTCAGCTTTCAAGAAAATTTTCTTTTGGTACCAGTCAACTGATTGGTTATCATAATTTCTGAAAGGGACTGTTTTTTAGCTCACATAGTGAGTTTTTGCAATCACTTTCTTGTCCGTCTGTCTGTCCGTCAACAATGTCAAATTGGATTCCCGTTTTATATCCCCTACAAATAGTGTGGGGGCCATATTATCAGCCTGGGTGCGTTTGTCCATCTGTCCATTCTTCTGTATATACAACATATTTCTCCAAAACTGCTACAGATTTTGCTTTAAGGTTTCAGGGATGATTTGTGAGTACATACAGATTTGGTAGAAAAGATGTTGATGTGGAGGGCCAGTTCAAA